TATTGTTACAGAGAGGGCGTCTGTCAAGAGATGTGTGTGGTTGTTATCGTCTCGGTGCAGACAGCCATGTTGAGTAGAAATAAACTACAGTAACCGAACCCTGCAGTGTATCCTGTTTTATTAAGAATACAACAAGAAGAACTATTGGAACAAATAGATATGAAATGTCAACCAGATGACAGTTATGTGCATTCAATCACCTTTAAAAAGGAACGAACACCGGAAATGAAATGTTCATATGTATTTTAGTTATATGACTATGCAAAATATTGCCTAATAAGCTTGGCTACATTTTAAATTTTATTTCAGACCTCTGCAAATATTAGTTTATCAACCACACATGCATAATGAGGGTACTATACTATCAAGGTGGTGTTAATTTAAACCACCTAATACCGCGTTCACATGTCTTGGGTCGCTCGCAAGCGAACGATCGGCTCGCGAGCCGGGCCTTCATGTGAACAACCGCTCAAGAGCGGTTTTTGTCGTGGGTGACCCACGACAAGCCGCTCGCGAGCGGCTCTCGATTCAGCTCGCTCTTGATCCATGTGAACAACCGCTTGCAAGCGGGTCGCCAGCGAGCTGTGACCTCTTTTGTGTGAAAGCCAATCAGATACAAGCATCTCCTCGGGGTCAAAGTAATGGAGAAAAGTGTGACTTCACGTTTCCTGGTTACCGGTTTCGCTGGGCTAAACAAACCTTGATCGTCCATTTTTTTGTTTTGTTTCGCAGTGCACTGAGTTTTGTAGTACAGTATTTGATATCGGTATTTCCGTAACTTACATTGTATAATCCAGTTTTATTTTGGGAAGACACTAATACTAAATAATCTATTTACCATATATCGTAAGTGCATCTTCATTTTCGAATGATAAGTTACAAAAATTATCATTTTAATATCTTCCGGAAGCGTAGGTTTAGGCGTTGGTACACCGCCGATACGTACGTCATATCACTTAATTGTGTGTAGAAAAAATGTACGAGACGATATCCACGAGTAATATTACTTTTAAGTTAGTTGTTATATAATTAAGTAACTTTCAAGTCTACATAAATGGTAAATACCACGCCATTCGTAACTCTACTTCAGCCAACGTCAAGAGAGGCCTAGGCCTCGCTAGTAGAGGCCTGTAGTATTTCAGTGAGCATCCCTGTTGGGGTCGGCGGTGCGGTGCTAGCCCACTGTTCTTTTAATTAGGCCTAGCTGCAGCCAGATAGCTTTAGCCTGTATACGTAGTATTGAATTTTATCTCCTATTTTTCTAAATATACAGTTTAATATATTTATCATTATATTTTTCTGCATATAGAGTAAGCAGTCAGCGCAGGGATTGTGTTCAGAAAATGGTCCAGTATTTTGTTTCTCAGATTGCAATCATCAGTGTCAGATGTAAACCATTTTGGATTTTCCTGAAGACCTAATAGAGAAAAAGGATGGATAAAGCCAGCCCGATTCAGATTAATGTTACAGTAGTACTTTTTTAACAATAAAATTATTCATGTGCCTAAAGGAGTGTTTAAGTAAACTTGTTGATTTCTTTTTAGCGTTTATATAAAATTAAACCAATCCAGTCTGGCACATGTACATGAAATAATGAACAAAGTTATAATAAACTATGGAATTTGTAAATTATTTTAAATACTGAATTTGTGTCTGTATTTTATCTTGCAACTGCACGATAGAGCGAGTTGATATTGCTTGATCATGGTGAGTGTCAATGAGCATACAGTATTAATATTGCTATTATTTACAGTATTTTATTGTATGATGTATGATATGCTTGCATATACTAAGATTAAAAGGATTGCAGACAATTCATGAACTTGTTTGTAAATAAAATATATTTTTTTTACACTTTCAAATACAGCACAGTAAATGCAAATGTTATTTTCACAAACATTATACATAGGCCTACACTATACCTGTATTAACGTCTACAGTTCAGCAGTTGCAAGGTACAGCGAGTGAAAATTGTTTGATAGTGGGATGTGGCGATTAACATTTATGTAAACATCAATCCCAAGTTTTAAAATAAAAATAAGCACATTACCCCTGTACTGACATTTCTTATTTTTGAAGTTGATAAATGGCATTGATATTGCTTGATTGGGTCAAGTGTCCTATTATTATTTATATATTTAAATCATATTATAAACGATAATTAAAATATGTGTAACATTACTGAAATTATATATCAAATAACAATATAAATTATCGATGAATTTTTGACTGCTGGGCCTTTAGGCAACCTGTATAAAATCTTCTCTCTGTAACTGAAGAGCAATCTAGAACAGAGCACTGGGCCATTTTCTGAACACAATCTCTGCGCTGACTGCTTACTCTATCTGGAGAAAAAGGAAATATAAGAGATTAAAATCAATAGTACACAGGCTAGTACAGCTATCTAGACTGCCAAGGACTACTTTAATAGCTAAGCCTAATTAATGAACAGTGGGGTAGCATCGCACCGCCACCCGAACTGGGAAGCGCAGTGAAATACAGGTCTCTTCAAACGGGGCCTAGCCTAGACTTTGACTGGAATAGAGTTAAGAATGGCGTGGTATTTAGCATTTATGCAAACTTGAAAATCACTTAATATAACAACAATAAATCACATAATAACTAAGTTAAAAAATAATAATAACTCGTGGATATCGTATCGTACATGTCTTCTACAAACATGATTTAAACTACGGCGGTGTACCCACGCCTAGGCCTACGATCGGAAAATTAAAATGCTAATTTTTATAACTTAGGATTCGAAAATAAAGGTGAACTTACGATAGGCCTATATGATAAATAGATTATTTATTTTCAGTGCCTTTCCGGAATTAAATGGGGAAATGCAATATAAGTTACAGAAATGCGTTAAACTTGCCGGTTTACCACAGAATTG